AATCATGACGCTAAAAGTTCTGACTGGGATTTTGACAGATTTAGTTCTCGCACTAAGTGTTTAAGTTCGCCCTGTGTGATCAAACGCGGAGCTGTTGAACATCCTGGCAGGTCAAACGAAGGTTTTCGGACATTTTTACGCTTTCTGTATCATCACTTTCGGGATCGGTGGATTCGACTTTTTCGTCCAAAGACCAAGATTCTGGTGGAACTGGGACAGAAAGTTTATCACTATGCTTAACGGGCCGCAAAGCTGATGGTAAATTAAAATACATAACATTATGTTTCGATTTTGGTCCAATACCTTTGATATTTGTGAGGCAGAAATAGCAATCAGTAAGTAGTATGGTCTCTCGGTTCTCTCCAAACCATTGGTACCGCAAAGGGCATCTTACGATTGTCGCCTCTGAGCCAACCTGTGCGATACACAAGTCTTACATATGTTCTAATATATGAGGGGTCCATAGTTTATATTGGTCGCCAACTTTAATTCCAAAATAAAGTTCGTATGCTTTCAACACAAGGGGAGTAAAGGTACGTTTTTGGGATTTTAAGGTTAGCTCTCCTCACACATAACAAAAACTGTTCGCACTATTTACACAATTTATAGGCATTGTCCATAAAGCTAGTCTCGATTACTCTAAACTAAAAACAACACACCGTTTTAACAAAAACTAACAGTACTCAGAACATCTCAGTACTCTTCAGCATAGAAAACGTAACTGACTCGCTGCTATTAGTGTACTAATAAACGCAATATACTTTCTAAACATAGAACTCGCATATAGTAAACAAGAATAGACAGGTCTCAACATTATATACGTGTCATCGCATAAACGCCGTGAAATGCAGCTATATGGGATGTTACGTATTGTAGTTCATAAAAGTATATGTTACCGAATATTTGTGGGTGATAGAAAAATTCTGTTTTTAGATTTGATTTAAGGGTCTCAAAATACATAAGATGCACCCAAAAAGTGTCTTGTCACAAATCCTGGGTTTATGAGTGTAATTTGTGATACCACAACAATGGAGATTTTAGACTGGAATAGCTTCCACAGCTCTTTCAGTCGTTAATGTTTTCAAGAACAGTAACATTTAGCTCTGCATTGAGTGTCTGACATCTGACACGAACTCGTATACTCACTGAAAAAAATCAAACGGCCGATATAGAGAGGGTTTCAATTATGATACACAGTGGATTTCAAACAATTACTCTTACTTATCTCTCCCGGTTGAGTGTGCAACCTGAGTTGGGTCAGTGAAATTGAGGCTTGCATACTACGTATATTTAGTGTAAAGCTTGTAGTAGACGATTATGGCCCTTAAACGAAAAATCGCTATCTTTGAAATTGGCGAATTGACAGGTTGTCAAAGTTGAGCGATTTTGTACATTGTAGCTTATAAATCAATACGTATATTGTATCAAATTTTCATTTTTACAAGAGTATATCCGAATATGCAACAACATATGATCCATTCCGTTTGAAAAACGTAAAAATCATCATTTTTTTAAATGGAGGAATTCATATATTATAACGCACATTCTGATGAATTCTTCAAAAAGAAAAAGATTAATAAAATATTGTTGTTGAGTTATAGCTTGACAGATTCTCAGTCCGCCATTATGAAAGACAGTGATTTTTTATTCTACGGTTACATTGAACTCATAAGAATTCTTAAAATGATGTATCATCATTCCATTTAAGAAAATGAGAGACTAGATGCTGCCAGGCCGCCGTTTCGAAATTTTAAGCTATCGTCAATTTCACCATCCCGAATTTCGACTTGCTAATTTGACCCGTTCGAAGAATAAGTATGGGGGCCCTTTGTTGAAAATTATGGTACGTCTGTCAGTTCAGAAAGTAAAACACTAAAAATATGCCATAATATCCTAAAATCTGAATTTCAGAATCGAGATATGTTTAGGATACTATGTGACCAGTAATCACTGAATACCGTGTCACCCATTTCCGTCGGTCTATCTATCGGGCCACAGGTTTTGATGAAACTTTGACATAATGTTATGCTAAGGACGAAAAAAGGTTTGCTGTTACTAATCGATCCGGAAAATTTTGCAGCAGTTAAAAATTGGGGTTTGCTGTTTGTAGTGGTAGGAGGAGGGTATAATTCATTTTTTGACGTTAGTATATTTATACGTTTCCAGACCCGGAAATTCTATGCACCTTTTAGGTATAATTCTCACACCATAGGTTCACTCGCACATTTGCACTCGCACAACTTAAAATGATGAAGATATATGTCTAAATGCAGTTATTATGGATTTTCTAAAAAACGTCTTTCGCTTATTTAAACATACCTTGAAAATCGGTACCGCACAAAAAATTTGTTCGATTGTACCACAGGGATCTGTTTTAGGACCTCTATAATTTTCATTATATATCACAGATTTGGAAACAGAGGTAAAATGAGGCAGCATACAATTTTCCGCCGACGACACCCAGATTTTATATTCATTTAGGAGTAAGGACTTGGAAACAATGAATGATAACATTAGTTAAGATTTTGCCCAAATTGAAAAGTTCAGTAGTAGTCATAATCATTCAGGAAGGAGTGCTCTGAAAAATGACCTAAACATAAATTTAAAGGGTAATAGAATAGTTCCTGTGGATCTTTCTAAGAACCTAGGTACTATAATGGATGATGATTTAAAATTTGTTGAACACTTAAACCATTTAATTTCCTAGTGCTATGCTATTGTCAGTTTTATTTGCAAATAAGGATATACTGCCTGAAAGCAATTGTGTAAATTTTTCTTATTTTCTAAAACATCGTATAGCTTAGTGGCTTACTATTCCTATTTTGATATTATAAAAAAAAATCATTTTCAAAGTATTATACGTATATGTAAGGCTCGTAAATGATGTCAGAAAGCATCATCATATATGGAAGGCCTTTAATGACCTTAACAGGATGAAAATTGATAAAATGTATAAATGCCGGCTCTTAAGTCTGACTTACAGTGTGCTTTATTTAAGAGCTCTGTCATATTTAGAAAGCAAATTTAAACGTAGAGGAAATATCAATATTAGATATAGAGCTTCTTTTTCAATCCCACACCACAGCACATCTCTATTTTGGAACACATAGCAATCAAATTATGGTCAGCAGCAAAATCTTTTGTGACAAATAAGTATCAACTGACCTTACATTTTCTTCATGCCTTTACATTAATTGCACATTGTTATTGCCTTTGTTGTATATATGTATTAATTTTCAGTTTTTATACATCTGGTATTGTTAAGGGGATTAGGTGGTAGAATGGATATAGTATCTAAATCTCGCCTCCTGTAATGCTATTGCAAATAAAAAGTGTCTGTGGATAAACCACAGATCTAGATTTCTAGATTCCAATGGGCGGGAATCATGAAGTAACTGATGAGCGTGTTAGACTGACGTGGTCCTTTTTTCAGTCAACATACTTAACACTATTTTTTACAAATTACATAGCTTGGGCTCAACGAAAAACTTTGTCATTTATTTCCGCTGGTATGTCTGTCTTCCTGTCTGATCTCTGTCCACTAATCATTGGTCCCTCGATTTTGACACAGAATTGCTATTATAGTTTTGGAAATTGACTCCAGTGGATGCAAAACTCCGTTCAATATGCAAGAACAAGAAAAATCTCTCAAACTTTGTTTTCTGAACTAAATTATTTATCATCTTTTGCAAGTATTGCAAACTTTTCCATACAATTCTACCATAAAAAACGTTAGTGCTTCTCGCTTGGTTGGCAGTGAAGTCATTTATTGTCCTGGCATTTTTTAGGTGATTTGATACTTCCTTTGCTGATATTGCCATCCTTGCGAACAATACTTAACAATATTTTATAAAATAAATATAGTAAACCACATTCCTGAAATACAATCTTAACCTCGCTCTGAGAATTCTGTTTGACTTTGTTCACTTTACTTCAAATGCCACGACAAATTCTTCACGCGCTAACAACCTCCTTCAGGAATAGCCGAATTGAATGCATCGGTCTATTTACATTTTCAATAAACTAAAAGCTGCGGAAATCCTCTGGAAGGTAATAAAATAATGCCCACGCTGTGCTTAATTCCCCACTCTAGTACTCTCAAGCGGAAATTGCACTTCGTAGAAACAATATTTATTTCTGCCCCGATAAAAAATGCACCCCCTTCTGGAAGAATAAGTGGGGTGTATATTTTTACTATCAGTGGTGAGAAACAGGAGCGTGAATAACGTGACTCACTGGCTTTTATTCGGTTGTTTGGGCAATCAAATACGTTTATTTAGAAAACGCTCAATATACAGAGGGCACTTCAATAACACTAATGTTTTTCTATCATTTTCTCGGAAGCCTGTAGGAAGTAGATTGTAAAATGCCTTTTATGTGCCTAAAATCATAATATCATACTTGCTTAATCTTGCAACCCTAGGTATGTTGAGCTATGAAAATAATAAACTTTGATATTGCCGAAAAAAATAAATAGTGTCTATTTGTAACTTATTTCTGATTTCAGTCAAAAGCTGTATAATTATCCTTCTCTTTTAACTAAATTAGTCAGTGTATGAAACTTTATATTTTATTTACTCGTCTCTCTAACGAATTTCTACCTTTCCAGATGTACTGTTTGTTATCTTTGAGGGAGAAATTTTATAAATTAATTAACCAAGCCTCAAGATGTATCTTAATTTACCGTGACCTATTTAGAACATTTGGAGACTCTTGAAAATGAAAGGGTGGCTGATATAACTAACCAAGCATGAATACAAAGTTTCAAAGCTTATATTTCAAAGTTGTTTTGAGTTCTGGAGATTCTGACGGAGCACTTGGACCTCGATGGAGAGTTAAGACCAGTGGAGCAGTAAAATTATTGAAGAAATGGTTTGTTAAGTCTTAGTGGACCTGTTATAAGACAAACCACAGTAAATTTTTGATACAATACGCGACGCTAAATGCACTAATTTAGCCGTTTGTACTTTGCAATTCCGATAAGTATTTCGCTCATTCACCATATAAGCACATGAACTATACTAAAACAAAAAAAATTAAGTTATTGTGATAATATTTTAGATCAAACTGCATTTGCAGCAGTAGTAGTAGCCATTTATTTAATTTATTATAGGCTCAGAGGAAACGCATGATTTTCACGTAAGCATAACATTTTTTATGTTTAAGATAATTTTATTTTAACTACACTCTAAAATTAATTATGGTAAATTGTGTCACTCAAGTGTCACCCTTCTTCGCGCTCGCACATCTCCAACCGCTCTTGAACGTTGTGCATTACTCGTAGGATCATTTCTTATGGTATTCTTGCGAGTTCTTGACGAATAGCAATTTTCAGTTCCTGTAACGTACTGAGTTTGTGAGGTAACCCCACAAAAAGAAGTCAAATGCAGACAAATCTGGAGAGCGTGGAGGCCAAGGAACATCGCCGAAACGGGAAATCACATGTTTAAGAAACATTTATCAAACACATTCCATTGATGCTCCCGCTGTGTGATCTGTGGCACCGTCTTGTTGGAAGAACAGTTCTCCCATGTTTACTTGTTGCCATTGAAGTTCGGGTAACAGAAAATTTTGTAACATGTGAACATAACGTGCTGAAGTAACTGTTACTTGTCTTTCTTCCTCCTCAAAAAAGTAAGAACCGATGATACCTAATTTACTAATTCCGCACAACGCAGTCAATTTTTCACTATGCGAAGGTCGTTGGTGTAGCTCTCGTAGATTTTTGGCCGCCCATTACCTACAGTTCTGCTTGTTTACATATCCTGTTAAATGGAAGTGTGCTTCGTCACTCATCATTATGACAACATTGGAATCATCAACAAAAATGGTCAGCATTCTCGCACAAAACTGTATACGCTGTGCAAAGTCACTTTCCGTTAGCTCTTGTACAATCATTATCTTATTGGGACGAAATTGTAAATCGTGAGGAATGCGTTGTAACGATCGACGGGTCATACGCAGAGCTGGAGCTTGTCGCCTAGTGGACCGTTGAGGACTATCAAGGACCGCTCTTCTCACTATTTCAATATTACCTGTCGTTCGAACGGTACAGCGAAAGTCAGGTGGCTTCCTCTTCATTACAGATCCAGTAGTTCGAAATGACTCAACCCAACAGAGTATCGTATTTCGACCTGGAATTGACCCTTGCCGTTCAACATTGAACTGGCTACGGAATAAACGTTGCACGGCAGAATCATTGTTTCGGAAAAATTGCTCGACGGCAAACACACGATGCTCAGTTGTGCATTTCCTCTGCGTCACCCTGTATAGGAACAATAACATAGAATGGATAAATAAGTGTTTCAATCCATAGAAGGGCAATGCCTGTACATGGATCAGTTGTATGTTGGAATGTGTTCCAAACTCAAAACAAAAAGTTAAAAGAAACTATAAAAAGCTTATATCAAAGAGTTGTATATGTAGAAAATGATAATTTTTAAGGGACATTTGATAGGAATTCAATAATGTGTCATCTTCCTATTGCGCGTATCCATTCTGATAATTTCTTTTTAAAATTATGTGTATTTCGAGATGGTTTTAAGTCTTTGGGTGTGTGCTTATCTAACTCTGGAGTCAAATAGTTTTATGATATTTAGGGACAGTTTTTGCTCGTGATTTATATCGTGTATCATGACAATGTGTGATTTTATCGCGTTCACTGACAACTTTGTGATAATGGCTGATAGTATGTAAGAATTAAAGTCGCTTGATATCACATAATTTTGTTTCGTTATATAAATCATTTCTTGAATATAATTTTTGTTTTTCGAACATAATTTATAAAAACGTTCTATGCCGCTTAAGTACACTGGGCATACTGTACCCCATGCTAATATACCATACATTAGGTGCGGCTCAATTAAGGCATGATAATATAATTTCTGACAATATGCCTGTGAGGCATTTAATTTTGTATGTAACAAATCTTATTTTTTTTCAAAATGTAGGCTGCATGAATGTCCCACCTAAAATGTTGGTCTAAAAATATTCCTAAATATTTTCAATTTTTAAATTTGTATTGTGTATTTTGAAGGAAGTATTTGAATAATTGGGTAGATGTCTTGCGCATAATGTGAAGGGTAGAAAATGTGTTTTCCGAAGTTTACAATTAATTTTCTAGTGTTAAAAAAATTAACGATTTTATAAAAGTAATTCTCAATTATTCTCCTTACATCATACCAGTCTTGCACTTTAAATAGTATTGCCGTATCATCATGCAAAACTAACTGTTTTACATACCCAGTTAATATTGAATATATCATTCAAATACATATTAAATAAGAGAGATCCTAACAGTGTACCCTGAGGTATGCCACATTTGACAAACATTTTGTTGTATCAAGGATATGATTTATGCGAAAAAAATTCCAATTTGCTGAACGCCTCTATATTATCGACCATGGAGCTTTGTCCGTAATCCATATGCGTTGTGCATAGTGGAGAATAAGCTAATTTGTTTGTTCAACTTCAGAACAAAACAACCATGCTTTTTTTCGATAAAATGCTAGGTGTGCGCATCTAATCCCGAAAAAAAATCGAGGTCTGCACATCCGACCAAACAATTCCGATTGTTGCAGCCACACACGATAATCGGCTTATCCCTGCTGGAGGCGACAGATTTCGAATCGCAAGCACTTGTTTATTTTCCGGAAACAATTTCTCAGCGTCAGGTCATGACTCTTCTGGTGGGATCTATCTCAGAAGATCTTAGCAGACCTCTAACAATTAGACTATGATACTCTAGATTTGTTTTGTGATAAGAGAATAATCCAAAGCGAATTAGTAATAATAATAATAAATGGCTTTATTCGAAGAGATACAAAAATAGTGTTCAACAAATAGGAATAATTGCTCTCGAACCTCAAGGGGGAGTTCACGACCTGCGTGGTCTTCCACGCATCCCTTGCTCTATTTTAAAATAGTGATATCAACTGTTACATGCCTACTACTAACTATATGAGAGCAGAAAAAAAGCATGAGTACAAAAAACAAATAACTGAAAATATAAAACTGAAAATATTCCATCATATAATCATGAGATTCATCCAAAAAAGCTAAATGTTACAGTATTATCAGTGAAGTTAATGATACTTATCTAAAAGGAATCGTCTCAGGGCTGCCTTGAATTTGCAACCTTTCATATTTTTTATTTTCTGGGGGATGGAGTTGTATAATTTATAGATGTTGTAAGAGAAGCCACGTTCGAAAAAACATGTTCGATGGAATGGAGCAGAAATATTCTGTTTCGAACGAACATTGACAGAATGAAGACTTTCTCTAAACATGACTTTTTCATACAAATATGGCGGTGACTTGCTCGACAAAATATTATTGTAGAAACATAGTGTTAATAGTTCTGAACGCTGTTTCATGTTCAACCACTGTAAATCTTTCAGCTTATGACTAACTCTGTCATATTTTCTTATACCGAAAATGTACCTTATACATGAATTTTGAACACGCTGAATTCTAGATATCGTATCAGCATCCAAGCATGGATAATAGACAGGAGCACCATACGAAAACTGGGACAAAACCAACGTTTCGCATAGCATTCGTTTGATGTCTCTGCTAAGAAAGTGTCTATGAGGGTAAAGCAGCTTGAGTGCATAATACGCTCTTTGAAATATGCTCTTTAAATCTGAGCTTAAAATCTATTATAGGACCCAAATTTTTAACAGAATCGCAGAACGGTATTACAACATTATCTATATGTAGCGTCATATTGTTCATTATCTCTGACCGGTCTTTCCCAAAAATTATTGCTGCTGATTTTTTTGGATTCATTGACATTGAATGATCATTAGAAGTTTTAAATAGAGCGTCAAGATCAGCATTAATTTTAAACTCCGCCATCGGCCAATCATCACCAAGGAATGAAAGGAACACTTGAGGTATCATCTGGATGCATGTGAGGCTTACAGTATTCAAGGGATTTGGAGAGCTGACTAGTATATAGCGTGAATAATAGCGGTCCGAGTATCGAACCCTGCGGCACCCCTTGATTTATTGTCCTTACTCGCGAGAGATTATTATTGATCTTCACACGTTGCTTTCTATCGCTAAGGTAAGATTCGAATAACGATTTATTATGACCTGATACCCCACATGATTCAAGTATTGCAATCAGAACGTCATGATTTATAGTATCAAATGCTTTGCTATAATCTAACAAAACTAGTGCAGTACAGTTACTGTTGTCATTAGCTGTTATAATATCGTCTGTAATGTGTGCCAAAGCTGTAGTACAGCTTTAATCTTGACGAAAACCTGACTGAGTACTAGGTAAAATTTTGTTTCGGGTTATGTGGTCACGTAGCTGTAATTCTATTATTTTTTCCACTAACTTTGAAAGGCCAGGTAAGATACTGATAAGGCGAAGATCTGCAAGTTGTTTGACATTTTTACCCTTAGGGATTGGAGTTATTAGAGCTGTTTTCCAGGCGGTGGGATATTTTCCGTCTAAAAGAATACTATTAGTAATGTGGACGAGAAAAGGCAATATGATTGGAATAAACATTTTAAGTAACCGGACTGAAATTCCGTCACTTCCTGGCGAGGTATTTTTTATCCGACAGAAGGCTTGCAGAATTTGTTCCTCGGAGACCAAGGAAAAATCAAATTTATCATAGCATATGACATTATTGTTATAGTTCGTAACCAAGTCCTCATTACTATTGATTTGTTGAGGAATATTGTCTAAGAAGAAGTCGTTGATATTATCAGCACTTTGCAGCTGTGATGGTATACCAGGATTATTTGATTTTATATCTAATGATCTTAGTTCTTTCCATAGTGCTTTACTGTATCTATTCTGAGCCAATTGTGAGAAATATTTCTTTTTTTCTTGTAATATGGTATGATTAGTTTTGTTTTTGAGCTGTTTGTAAGCCACACCATTCTGCGCAGGATTCTTCCGGAATTTTGACCTAGCTTTGTCTCTATCTCTCATTAGTTTCCTTATGTTATTGCTAAGCCAAAGTGCCTCATTTTTGCTAATTTTGGATGTTTTAAAAGGCATGTGTTTGTCAAACAGTTGAAGGATCATGTTGTTGAACAAACGCATTTTTTCATCGATGTCAGAAGCATAGCAAATATCTATCAGAGGGAGCTTTTGTAGGTCACTGTAGAACTCATGCTCATTAAAATGCTTAAAACTACGATAAGTACAGTAGAATGGCTCAGTTTTAGGCTCTGCATATTAACGCCTTTTCGCCTCTTGAGGCGATAGATACTATATACATCTTATTATTGTATGTACAAATGCAACTCGACTTATACCGGCATCCTTTAACTCCTCGTAAATACTTTACATCGCATTCTTTCTTTAAGGCCGCCAAGAAGACCGATCATGTATACCGGACAGCTAAGACTACTATAAAGCTAAAAGTGTGTAGTCTGGTTTTGGACTAAAGCTAAGGGTCGTTAAACTGTTGGGTTGATCACAGGGTTACTAATAATTCGTCGTATTACCTCCAGGACATGACAGGGGGTTCAAAACTCAAAAGATTTAACCCTATGTGCAGGGTCGAAAAATCAACAGTTGCCTGAGTTTTTCATTTTTTCTGTTTTATAACAATCATCTGGAATTGGTCATTTGGTCTAGGGCAGTAATGGCAACCATATCAGTGTGTTGAGCTACTTTGATAATTTTGGAATAAACAGTCAGCTACCTAGTCGTAAGCAATGTAAGCCAACTTAAATGAAATTATACACAGTTGTATGGGACATAAATGTGTTTATTCTACTAATACATACTAATAAACTTAAATAAACTGATAACTAATACATACTACATAACTACATCCATTCCGACCAATCGTAGGTATTTGAAAAATATACAAAAATTTTTGTCAGCTATAATGCCATGTCACATATGATTTAATAAAGCTAACTAAAAATAAAAAAAAGCAACGCACTATTTACTTACTAACTCAGAAATTTTACAAAAACTGCCAGACGTGCAGAGAAATCAGGCTACCTTCAACATCTATCTGGACAAAGAAACTCTGCAGCTCTTTATAAAGCTCTTAAGTCATTTAGAATTCAGGATTCTAGGATTCTAACATTCCAGATGATTTAGCAGTTCCCAATGAAATATATAACTATTTTACCAAATATATTCCAGAAAAGTGACGATGATTGCTCGGAAACTATCGAGTTTTATAGCCATAACAAATTAAACCAAGATTTTCATTTTCAGTTCCGTCTTGTCGATATATCTACAGTATTGGATGCTATTCGCAGTATCAAGTCCAATTCTAGTGGTATTGATGGCATTACCATTGAGATGATTAAATTGTGTCTACCTGCTGTAGGAATATACATTTTGAACTTAATAAATTGTTGTTTAGAGCGCGGTGTTTTTCCAAGTGCTTGGAAGGAAGCATTAGTGCAACCTCTTCCAAAGATTCCCAATCCCCAGGTTCCTGGTGATCTCCGACCTATTAGCTTGCTGTCAGCTCTATCAAAAATTCTAGAAAAAAAAGTTAAATCAATCAGGCTTTAGAAAGGGTCACAGTACCACTACCGCTTTGGCACGGGTTTGTGACGATGTACTAACAGCGGCGGATAGGCAAGAAGCAACTGCATTAGTCTTATTGGATTTCAGCAAGGCTTTTGACACCCTGAATCATAAGCTGTTAGTTTCTAAATGTAAATACATTGGGTGTGACGACTTGGTTCTGGGATGGATAGATTGCTATTTAAATGAACGACATCAATATGTCGTCATACAAAATAAACTTTCAGAAAAAAGGCCGATTTGTTCCGGCGTGCCTCAGGGATCCATATTAGGTCCACTTTTATTCCTTATATACACCTGACATTTCTAACACACTTCAACATTGTTCTAGTCAATCATATGCTGATGATATGCAGGTTTTTCATAATTTCTGTCCGAACAACTACCATTTAGCTAACAACCTCATCAATCAAGATCTGCAATACAATACAATATGCTGCAAAACATAATTCACGTCTAAACGCATCGAAATCGACAGCTATACTTTTTTGCTTCAAGAAAAAACTTACTTTCCTCAAATCAAAGTTAAATTTATCACTAAATAATAGTATCCTAATATTTTCCCATTCTGCAAAAAATTTAGGTTTGTACTTGGATGAAGATTTCAGATTTCAGGAGCATGTTGGCTATGTGTGTAAGTCTAGTTATTTTAGACTCAGGCTTCTATATGCAAGTAAAACTGTTTTAAATAGAAAAATTAAGAAAATGTTATGCGGTCACTCATACTCAGTAAAATCGCTTACTGCAACATAGTTTATTATCCCTGTCTGGATGAAATCACAAAATACAGACTGCAAAAAATTCAAAACTCATGTAGTCGTTACATAAACAATTTAACAAGGTACGATGATGTTTCTCACTCAATATCGTCAATGAATTGGTTGAAAATTTCTGGTATTTTCAAATACAACTTTGTTACATTTGTCGTAAAAATATTAAAGACTTCTGTTCCGGTTTATCTTATGCAAAAGCTTGTTCGTAGGAATTTAATTCACAATTTGAATACGCGCAATATTAATCTCCTGACAATGCCACAACATAGGACAGCCATTTTTCTTTTACGTATAATGCGGTGAAATTGATCAACTCTTTTGAACAATGTTTCATCAGCAACTTTTCTAAAAAAAAATATAAGAACTACTTATTGAGCTCTTAGGTTATTGTCTTCTCTTTGAATCGTACGTATTATGTTTTTTGTTCTAATCGTACACATTATGTCATATTTATTAATTCTTCTTTTACTATTATTCTTCTTTTTCCTTTTCTTTTTCAGTTTTTTATTTTATTTTAAGGTAGTAATAAGCATTGACATGACATTTATGGTTAAGTATAAATGGCCATTGGCCAGACTTCGCCATTTGTAAGGATACATAATTATGTGTTACAATAAAGTTTATTGAATTGAATTCAATTGAATTGTATTTTAAACAAAAACATGTCCAGATAAAAAATGCGTGTTCAAAGAGAAGCCTTACACTCGGATTCAATTTTTTTAATGTTCTGGTTGCAGAACGTAATGGGAATGATTTTTCAAAATTTGAATGTACAGTTTTATAGTGACTGTCGATATTCCCTTTTTTATCATCGGAAACAGATGTATTACATAACAAGCATACATGTTTACCTTTAACTTCTGTAAAGAAATATTGTTCTTCCCATTCCGAATGGAAATGATACGTCTTCATCTTCTTACTATCGCTCATAATGTTTCTAATTGCAGGCCAACTCTAACCCAACCGCTGGACTTTGTGCCGTTTAGTTTTAGACTGGGCGCACTGTTTGAGATGGAAAACTGAATTTATCTTTGTTATATCTTCCAAAAATCCTATACTTAGACACAATTACACTAATGTTTATCACTTTATATCTGTAATTTCGAACTGAAGCATAATTATTTAATATTCAATAGAGGAATAAATGTTTGCGCAATATGGCGGGTGGTTGTGTATAATCATGGCATCGTCCATGTTGTCTTTAGGTTATTAGAATATTTTGGTGTTGCCTGCAGGTGTTATACAACAATTTGACAAATGTCTGAAATGAAATACCGACAGACTCGAATGATTTACCCAGAATTTGTACCAGATCTATATCTTCTGTTTGAACAGTTGATACATTTTGAATCAATATGCATGCGTTGTTTGTCTTAAAACATTGGTTATGGCATGTTAACAAAAACATGACAGCAGAAAGTTAGGTTATGGTGAAGTTGTATACCAACATATTTAGCATATGTACAGCCTTTAACAGTTACTAAACAACAGTTGTATAAGTGCTTCCGTTGGGAGCAATTTGTTGGCCAAAGTAGTAAATTGCACAGCAAAACAACGAGGCTCGGGTTTGTTTTATAAACGCTACCATGGATGACACAACACAACCATTTCGACTAACGTGCAAATATGCCGTATAAAATAGTGGAATAAACGTTTATGCAACAGTTAAAAATTTGCCCTATAAGGTGTTATATAACTATGCTATAAGAATATTTTAAACACCTCACTTTACAGCAAATATGTTGCGGAAAGCAAATTTGCATTCCACACAACATTAAGCCAGCATTTTGGTGTTCAGGCAACAACAATAGAGAGCTTTTATGGCTGAACGGTTCTTTTACCAAAAGCTTATACCACTACTTTGCTAGTTGGGCAGTACTGAATACGTTTGGTTCGTCAAACTGCACCACTGTCCTGCATCATGCAACAGTAATGATCTCCAGGTCTATCGTGTGATAAACGGTAATAAGAACAATGTGCCATTGTTTACTGAAGATAAAAAGAGACAAAAAGAAGAAAGAGAGAACTTTAAAGGGTGCCGACTCTTTCATCGTAAAAACTGATGCAACTAAAGCAACATTGCCTATTGTTTCAAAAGTCTGAATGCGAAGTTTACGAAACATTTAAATACGCACCACCGAAGCAAGAACTGTGAATGACGCCAGTAAAAAAAGATGTTTTTATTTTGAAGAAGTTAGAGCTTCAGACTCGTTTCAAAAGAAGTACATAATTATAAATGTACCCCAAGAGAAAGTTTTCCGTGAGTGCTTTTCGCTGGGTTGGGAAACTTCACAAGGAAACTTTCAGCGAAACATTGGGGTTAATTGGCAATATCGTGTGGACAACACGACTGGAAAAATGTTATCATTTACCCAGTACCTCACAAACAACGGTAATTGTAGTTTTGAAACGTATCTGCTATGAACATTTTTAGAATGGATCCCTTCATTAAAAAATCACGCATAAAAATCTTATTTTTGACATCATACCATGTCTGTTCAGTAGTCTTTGTCTCGTGCCTTCGACCATAAGAGTTCTGAAGGAGTTTCGATACAACAATACTGCTATCCTAAAACGAAATAGCTGTGAGGTTTGGAAATCAGTTTGGTATCGTTGGAGTTTTTATGGGGAAACGAGATGTTCCAGAATGGTCCAGAATCCCGTTTCTATGACCTTTTCGAATCTTTAACAATTTCTTCGCACAGGAAAAAAATGATTGAAATTTTATCTGGAGGAGCCACATTTAATAATAAGCAAACTTTATGTTTGACGTTTTTCAACCTTTTCTTACCGTCGTTGGGCGTAGTTCATTTTCTTTTGCAGTTTTTGTTTTGCATGCTGCTGATATCAAAA